CCAGTATAGAACTCCACCTGTCGGTCTAAAGCTATAAAGGTGATGGATAGAAGACCTGCAGCCTCCACCGTCAGCAATTTCATTAGCTTCTGCCACCTCATCTTGTGTCCCTGGACCTGAGGGCAAGAATGTGACCCTTTCAAAAACATAAGGATCAACCTTCCCTTCCCCAGAATATACTATCCTTCCCCACCAATACCACTTCATGGTAAAAACGTATCAAAATGTGTCAAATCTTTTGGCTGAACGCCAGCAAACTCAAAGGCACAGAGCTTCTGCAGGCAAACAAAATCCAATGCCTCTCCATCTCAGCCCCCGTCCTGCATGTCCTTTTGTTCAACGGTGGGTTGTAGCAGGCAGCTGAATTCTTTCCTATAATGGCTGTCTTAGTAAATTCTTAAGGACAACACATGAAGGGCGACTGAAAAGGTATGAGACAGATTCTTCTCCCACGAACATACAAGAACGTAAAATATCCAAATAAGTGGTAGCTTTCAAAGCCATTGTCTTTTGATCGAAATGTGTTCAGAGTGGTTTTGAAGGCAGCTGATCTGCCTGCAGGAAAACCAGTCTTGTTCTTCCCAGCAGGGACTCCTTCCCTTCTCGTCAGAGGGTCACTGAGGCTGATGTTGGCCTGGGGCTTGACAGGCAGAGACCTCTGGGAGAGGGGCTCTGGGGCCAGGCTAAGGGGAGGCCTTCTGTGCCTCAGAAAGCAGACAGTCTAAGTTTATTTGTGGGCAGCCCACCTGCTGAGTGTGGGTATAATTAGCTCAGCACATAAAAATGTGTCAACATACCAGAAGTCAACACAGCCCATTCCAGTAAACATTTAAAAGCATCAATATTTGTGATGATGGCAAAAGAAAGTGCTGGAATCCACACTTCCATGAGCAGACTCCCTCTGGACTACATGCAGCTTCTGAGCGCTCATTCAGCATTTCCCAAATTGGGCTCCATGGAACACTAGCTTCATGGGTTATTAAGTGTCCCCTGAAAAGGGGGCACATGGGTCATGCAAGTTTGGGAAATACTGGATACCTTTCCACTAAGCCTTCCCAGAGCCTCTGGCACCTCCAAGACGGAGCTGCAGGACCACAGTCTGAAGACAGCGCTCTGGGAAGCACCGTCTAGACACCGAATGACTGCTGACCTCACTAGACTGCCGATGTTATTGCTCGCTGCCCTGGAGACGGCCCCAACACATGGTGACCCCGTGCACAAGGCCTGCAATGCTGTCTAATCCCAAGGCATCTCCATGATCAGTTGTGGACTGGACCGTTACGATCCACAGGGCTTTCACTGTGTGATTTTCGTGAGTAGATTACCAGGCCTTTCTTCCTAGTCTGTTTTAGTCTGGAAACTGTTCAGCATCATAACAACACACAAGCCTCCACTGACAGATGGGTGGTGGCTTCACAGGAGGTGCACTGGCTGGGAATCGAACCCAGGTCTCCTGCATGGAAGGTGAGAATTCTACCAGTGACCCACCACTGACCCTGAAGCTACTAATACACAAGAAGAACTTCCCTTCTCAAAAATATTGACTTGGGATGTCTAGTTTCCACCCTTTTCCCCACGTGGTATTTCAGAACAGCTGGCTGTTGTTGGGTGCTGTTGCATTGATTCTGAATATGATGTGGGGCCAAAAATAACAGATGCAGAGAATAAGAGAAGAAAGGCCCTTTACCTTCAAGTTTTCTAAACGTGCATCCACTTGGCCACATTACTGTTTCACGGCAATGTCCCCATTATCTAATTAGAACTACTAAATGCAAAAGTGCTCGGGCTTGAGTCACAGCCTCCCTACCCCGTTTAAAGAAATACCGAATGTCTGGTGCTAACGATGCTAAAAATAAATTCTGTCTAAAACGGCTTGTTGGCTGGTCCTGAAGGGACAGTCAATACTAACATAATCACGATGTCAAGGGCTGTTAATAGCCATGGAGAGAATTTAGATTTCCTTTGAGGGAGTGTGTAGGGCTAGGTGATTGCACACACGTGAACGCGTGAACACACGCACGCGCGCTCACACACGTGCTCACACTCACACACACACATACACGCATGCCCAAGCAGCGTGCCCCCCTGCTGCCACCTTCCCTTGCCCCCAATTTCTGCCAGTGGTCCCATCACTCACTTGTCACTCAGGGCCAAGGGTGAGACTAAGTTATCCTTCATTCTCCTTTCTGTCATATCCTAAGTCCAGTCAGTCACACCTGTTGTTGTTACCTGCCATTGAGTCAGCTGCCGACTCATGGCGACCCCACGCGCAATGGGCTTGAAATGTTCTGATCTACAGGGTTTTCATTGGCTGATTTTCAGAAGTAGGTCACCAGGCCTTTCTTCCTAGTCCAGCTTAGCTGGAAGCTCCACTGAAACCCGTTCAACATTATAGCAACATGTGAGTCACCACTGACAGATGGGAGGTGGCTGTCACTGGCAGGGAGCTGAACCCGGGTCTTCCTCATGGAACACGAGAATTCTACCACAGAACCACCAGTGACCTCATAAATATGCTTTAAAAAAAAAAAGTCACTGTGGAGTCGATTCTGACTCATGGCGCCCCCATGTGTGCCAGAGTAGAACTGTGCTCCGTAAGGTTTTCAATGGCTGTGATCTTTTGAAGGTTGATCTCCAGGACTTTCTTCCAAGGCACCTCTGGACAGACTCAAACATCCAACCTTTCAGTTAGTAGCCGAGCACTTAAGTGTTTGCACCACGCAGTGGCTCCACAGTATATTTTAGGCACCTCATTTTATCCATCCCCCTCATTCTCAGTACAGGCACAGAGTCTGGTGCATAGGAGGTGCTCAGTACTTTTGAGCACGTGAAGAAAGAAGAAAGAAACCACTCTGAAAGGAGCATTAATTCATCACAGAACAACTTCCGAACACCAGGCCGTAAGCTCAGCTCATGGGGGAAAACGGCATATTGACTGCCACGGATGAGGCTGGCTCCGAAGGGTCCCGATGAGGCCAACGGCAAGTGCCTTGCTATGCCTCTGGGAATCCCGGTCTACAAGAGTTTTCAGTGAAAATGGATTTATCTAGGCCCTAACTACATATGGTCCATCATTTCTTCAGACAACCCGGCATGAAAAACCCTTGAAAGTGATTAACCCACTCTTCGTGGTCACACGATCATTTCGATGGCAGACGGGAGGGGACGGGAACGCGGAGCTCATCGTCACTCCCGTTGCCCTGGGCTGGGCCTTCAGCCTCCATCGCCGTTGAGACCTTAAACCTCCCTTTCTGTGTAGGGGGCGGGAAAGCGTTTAGCCAGGTGGGTTTGCTATTCCAACAGCCCACACTAAGAAGCCAGGTGTTTGCTGTTCCAATCCTCACATTCAAATCCACACCAAGTTCTTTCTCATAATGGTGCAAGTGGCACGTGATTCTTGCCACTGCTCAGCAGACGTGGTGGTTTGTGGGCCTGGCTTCCAGTATCAATAATTGTTTACTGAATACCAACACCAACGAGAAATATAAAGATCGACAATCCTGCCCAGCAGTTTCATTGCTACAAAATCCTGTTGCCATTGAATCAATTCCGACTCACGATGACCCTATAAGACAAAGGAGGACTGCCCGATGGGGTTTCTAAGGAGCAGCTGGTGGATTCGAACTGCTGATCTTTTGATTAGCAGTGAAGCTCTTAGAGATAGTTAAAAAAAAGAAAAAACAGAAAAAAAACAGGTGCCATTGAGTTAATTCTGGCTCCTGGCAACCCCATGTGTGCAGAGTAGAACTGTGCTCCACACGGTTTTCAAGGCTGTGACCTTTTAGAAGAACACAGCACTTAACTGCACCACCCAGGGACTTCTCATACAGACATTGGTAGATACCAATCCCCTCCCACCCCCCAGTTTTTAGATCCTTATTTAAAGAAGGATGCTACAGCTGATTGGTATGAATTCTGAGATACGGGAGACAGTCTCAATTCTTTCCCCCTCGGCCCTAGACTCCGTCCTATGCTGGGGGCCAAAGATGCTGCAAAGGGCATTACTGAGTTAATTGAGATGACTGGAGTATGGACGGCAAAATACTGTATCAATGTTAAAAACAAAAAAAAAACCTGCAGGCTGACTCAAAGTGGGAAAGAAGTGCTCCTTTCAATCAGGGGCTGATTAACCAGTGAACAAGGTATGCAGGGGTTTACTTGTGTTTACTTACTAATTTGTAGTGCACAATTGCACATGGGTTTCACCACATCTTTTATGCGGTGAAATTGTGCACCACTGATTAGTAAGCAAGCACAAGTAAGCCCGCGCGTACCTTGCTTACTGGGTAATTCATCCCTGCTTTCAAGATTAACAGCTCCTGACCCCAGTAGGCTATATGTAGACACCCTCCTGCTCAACCAACATCATCCAATTCGCACGCTATTTCTAGGAGAGAGGTGTTCCCGATATCCACCCAGCAGAGACGGAGGCACACGGAGGTTAAATAGCCACTTTTGGACCATCCGTGGCAGGTAGGCCCAGGAGTCACACCTGGAAACCCAGCTCTGTGTGCAAAGAGGGGGCCAGTTGGCACCTGTGCCCCGACCCCTCGCACAGCAAGGTTAACTCCAGGATGTCAGACACAGCATGGGAATGCTCGTTTCCGCACTTTCTGCAGGAGCTCAAGTCCCCGTAGGTGCTTTTCGTTAAGCTTCTACACCAAGCTAGCACAAAGTTAAGCAGCCCACCGCATCAAAAACAGAAGCTGCCCTGGGCACGAAGCAGCAGCAGCCCAGCTCTGAGGTCCCACGTTCGGCCAGGACTTGGTGCCAAGCATGTTTGCAGAATGGACACGCCCAAATTAAATGCGGCCCAGGACATGTCCAATGCCTGAGGACGGGCGTCTCAGAATCCCTGTGCCTCCATCCCCCGCTCCAAGCAGCGGTGACCGGGAGGCAACTGGAGAAAAGTGCTTCCAAAGGCAACTCCGTATACACTGGCCCGTTCCACCAAGGGGTACCTGTATTTACAGACACGGTCATACAAGACAGATCCTGACCTGTTTCCTTCTATTTCCAACTGAGAATTACCGGGCACCTTCTCCACGTTACACCTGTGGTAGAGTAGAAAGAATACTGGCGTCAGAGACCTGGGTTCGTGTCCCAGCCCGCCACGTCCTGGGCTGGGCGACCGTGGGGAATTTGCTTCACACCTCTCTAAGCCTCAGACTCCTCACCAACCTGCAGACAACTGCTGGGAAGATCACCTGGGGTTACCTATGGAACCTCATTGTGAAAAAATATACGGTTCTCCAGAAATGAAAACAAGATTTCCTAACAGTACCCTCCTGGGACGAGGTATCCTTGTCCCTCACACATATGTGCCTCTTACTCTGGTCCCATTTCCCTCTGCACGTTCCTCCTCAGCTTTAGGACACATTTTCTGTCCACTTGTACCAGAGGCAGTGGGGGATAGGCAGCTATTTGCTAGGGGTGTGTGATCTCAGGAAGGTCGTTTTCACCTGTTCGAGCCCAGTTCTTCACTTGTGACATGGGGATAAGACTTACCTCAGAAAGTTGGTGCAACAATTAAATGGGATAACATGTTTTGTCACACACAGCATCCAGCTCATAGAAGGTGCTAGAAATAACCAAACTTGTGTTCTGAACACCGTCCAAGTAGTCAGCTGACCACCTCCCAGAACGCTACTCCTTTTGAAGAGATCACTGAAGTAATGATTGGCAACTGGGAAAGAAACTCAGCCTCCGCCTGAGGTCTCTGGCCTTTCCATGGGCCTCTGGGGAAGCCCCTTCAGCTGAGGATTTTTGAAACGGCTTCATTGGTTTCCCTTTGTGTAGCAGCAGCTGACAGTTTGACAAATCTTGGGAATCCCTCCATCACATATAGATCCTGCTCTGGGTGAGGCGAAGACAGCACCCTTTGGCATACACAGCTGGTGTCTGGGCACTTACAAATCCCTCTGACCCACTGGGCCCCAGAGCCGCCTTCCTGCTCTGCATTAGGGCAGCAGGAGGTGTGGCAAGGAACCAGGAAACGCAGGACCCACCCAGTGGAGGCGTGGAAGTGTGCTGCAGACTTACAAGGGAGATGTCTATGGCAGACATAGAAGGGAGAGCTGGGAGGAGGTGCTGGAAAAAGAAGTCGGAAAGGTAGTTAGGGCCAGCAGGGAAAGACTATTTTTCCTATGCTGGTAAGTGTGATGGGCACCAGACAGGTTGAGGGAAGCTCTCGAAAATTCTTAAGTAATGGGATGACATGACCAGATTTGCACAGAAGAAGGAAGGCGGGTGAGGAGCAAACAGCCTAGAGGCAGCGTGCACACGCAGAGGGGTGCAAAGCAGCTGCAGGTCCAGGCCAGTCATGGTGCAGCCAGCGCAGGAGGAAAAGGAGAAGGGGGTGCTTGGAGAGCACCCTTGCAGTGTTGAGGGGAGCTGGTGTTTGAGTGCGTGGATAAAAATAAGGACTCGAACTGGGGAAACGTTAATTGTTTCCTATTGGGCTCTGGGTCGGTGGTGGTGTTAACCAAGGGGACTCACACTGAAGCTGGCCACGTCATCTCTGAACATATAGTCGTGAAGGAAGAGACCAGGGAACGACAAAGATGATCCTGGACCTTTTTACAGAATGCATTTTAACGGATTCAGAAAGAAGAAAGGCACGGTTCTAGGGTCTGAGACAGATTACAGTTCAATGGGGCCGCGAGACTCAGAACAAAGGACATTCTAGCAAAACCATTCCGTTTCCACTGACTCGTTAGGAGTATGTGGGGACAGGCCTACGCTGCAGATCAGCAATCTGACTGGAACAGAATGAAGAGAAAAAAATACAAACAAAGAAATAACAAGAAAAAAGAATACTAAATAATGAATTTGTTTTAAAAAAACGTCCGTAGCTACAAACCTATTTTAGAAAGAGAGTGTGAATGCTAATATGAACGGTCCACACTGGGCTGAAGCTGTAGGGTTAAAGCGACCTGGGAAAGCCTTCAGCACAGTAAATACCTTCACACACCTCAGGGAAAGGCACTTTGGAGAGAGAACCTGAGAACAAGGCAGCACTTTCAAGTAACAGCCTGTCCCTTCTGGGGGAATGGGCTGGGTCTACGTGGGCCTTCAGAAAGAGTAACTGAGCCATACTCAAAATGAGGGAAATGCTACAAATTACTTTTCAGTGTATACATGAATTAAACAAGTTACCCAAACATAGCTGCCATGGAGTTGACTTGGACTCATGGCAACCCTGTGTGTGTCAGAGTAGAACTGTGCTCCTTAGGGTTTTCAGTGGCTGACTTTTGGGAAGCAGATCGCCAGACCTTTCTTCTGAGAGATCTCTGCGTGCATTTGAACTTTTGATCTTGCAGCTAGCAGCCAAGTGTGTTAACCATTTGCATCACCCAAGAAAAATCCAAACCTGTTGCTGTTGAGTCGATTCCAACTCATAGAGACTCTAAAGGACAGGGTAGAACTGCCCCATAGGGCTTCCAAGGCTGTAATCTTTATGGAAGCAGACTGCCACATCTTTCTCACAAAGACCAGCTGGTGGGTTCGAACCACCAACGTGATGGTTAGCAGCCGAGCACTTAACCACTGCACCACCAGGGCTCCTTCTGCACCATCCTGGGACTCCTAAACAAATACAGTTGTCCTTAGAGTTGTGGCATACCACATCCTTAAAAAGATGCTGTAGTTACAAATGTTGGCTTTATTTTCCCAGGTAAATGTTGTTACACTGATATAAATTTTTTTCCAGAAGCAACCATAAACACAAGGAAATGTCTTTGTATCCTCATAGGAGGAGTTCCTGGATGGTGCAAACTACTAAGCCCTCGGCTACTAACCAAAAGGTTGGTGGTTCAAATCCACCTACAGGTGCCTCGGAAGACAGGCCTGGAAATCTACTTCCAAAAGGTCACAGCCATTGATAACCCTGTGGAGCACAGTTCTACTCTGCAACACTGCTGCATGTGTCCATCCTCAAAGCTGACCCGAAGTCTAAACCCTGTGCCAATAACAGGGCTGGCCTTCCTCGACTCTCCTGCTATAGTCTTCAATTGATGGACGGGGAGGACAGGACCCTACCCGTTATTCTGTTTCAGATTCTGTAGAAAAGAGAACAATGCTTGAATTTGACAAGCAAGACATGATAAATGCTGAACAAAAGCTCTTGATAGGCAAGTTGACAGACGTAGCTTATCAAGCCGCTTCAAATGAGTTCCAGTGTCCAGTTGCAGACCAATGACACCCTGAAAGAGTGCCTACTGCTCCACTAATAATGCTTAAGAAATCACAGAGAATAACAACGGAATCAGAAGGCCAGAGATAAGCAAATGAGAAAGTGAAACTTGAGATCACTGTTAGATGCTGACCCTTGGCAAAGATCTAGAAGGAACTGTGTAGATGCCACGGGCCTATTTAGAAGAGATAAATAACACCATTAAGTGCCAGCAGAGGGTCTCTTAGGAAAAAGCCATGGGGAGCTAACCTCATTTCCCTTTTTCCAGCAGGGTTTCTAGGTTGATAGACTGGTGGGACCACAGACATGGTGCATCTTGGTTTTAGCCTGTCTTGATAACCTTGGGCAAGGAGAGACAAATGTGGCTGACATGGTAGTACGGCCATGTAAGTTCACAGATGGTTAATCAACTTTCAGGATTACTAGTTAATAGACTGATATCAACCTGGAGTGCTTTTCAGGGGCATGTTATGGAGATTCATGCTTTGCCCTTTAGATATCCTCAACAATGGCTTATATCAAATCTTAGGATAACAAAACAAACAAAAAACTTAAGACAAGAAAACATAAGAAAAAAAGCAGAGTCGAAAGAGTTACATCAATAGGCTAGAATGACAGGACAAGAATGAATAAAATGAGATTATACCGGAATAAGAACAAATCAATAGATATAAGTTCAGACAAAAATCAAATTCTTAGTTGAAGGCTAACTTTGGCCACGTGCCTATGAGAGAAGAGGGGTGTGTGTGTGTTAGGGTGAAGCTAACAAGTCACATAAAAATACAAAAATGTAAGTTAGCTCTGTGACAAAACGAATAAAACCTCAAACCCATTGCCAGTGAGTTGATTCCAACTCACTGCAACCCTATAGGAGAAAGTAGAACTGCCCCATAGAGTTTCCAAGGAGCGGCCAGTGGATTCAAACTGCTGTCCTTTAGGTTAGCAGCCCGAGCTCTTTACCTCTGTGCCACCAGGGCTCCCTGTGACAAAGTTGCTGGAAAAAGTTAACACAACCTTGAGTTACATGAAGAGAATTTTGGTGTCCAGAATAAGGATGCTATTACCCTGCAATTAGCCTTCTTCACAACACCTTTGGAGCTTGGGTGCCACACTTTTCAAGGAGATACTATAAGAAAGCAGAAGGTGCCTAAGGTGGGGCTGAATGTGCCTAACCTCAAAAGTCTAGTACCACTCAGGTAGCAAAGGGAGGCATCGCCACCTGAAGGAGAATGTCTCCAGGTGGATGTGTTTGTTTACAAATTTTTAAAGGGCATTTTTTAGAATGAGAACAGATCTACTTCTCTAAAGGTCCAACTAGAGCAGACAGCAAGAAGTCAGACAGCTGAGTTCACGTTAACCCAGGGAATAACTTTTGTGTTTCCAGCTGTCCTTCAACATTGGGAGCTGCCCCGAGCGGAGCCAACGCTGGGGTGTCCATGGGGAAGTTCAACGGCCATCCGTCAGAGCCAGTGTAGGGGGCATATCTGGGTTGGTAGGAAGCTCAACATCCCAGCTGCCGTTGAGTCGACTCTCACTCACGGGGACCCCATGGGTATCAGAGTAGACTCTCACTCACGGTGACCCCATGGGCATCAAAGTAGAACTGTGCTCCTTAGAGTTTTCCGTGGCTGATTTTGCGGAAGTAGACTGCCAGGTCTTTCTCCTGAGGCGCCTCTAGGTGGACTCGAACCTCCAACCTTTTGGTTAGCAGCTAAGTGCTTAAGCGTTTATACCATCCAGAGACTCCTGGAAGTTGAACTAAACCAAAAACCAAACCAGCTGCTGCCGAGTCGATTCCGACTCATGGCGACCCGATAGGACAGAGGAGAACTGCCCCATGGGGTTTGCAAGGAGCAGCACCTGGTGGATTCAAACTGCTGAGCTCTTAACCACTGCACCACCAGGGTTTCCGAAGTTGGACTAGGCATAGCTAAAGTCCGTTCCAATGTTAACAATCTCTGTCGTTTAACCAAACAACAATGAACCATTTTCTCTAGACTTGGAGGAGCTCTGCTAGATCCTGCTACGGACCATCTTACTCTACGTCTCCTCCTCGTTTTAAACTTGGGGGCACAAATGTAAATTAGGATGAAATCTCTTTTCAAAATCTTGGTGCCCCATGTAAACAAGACAGAGAGCCTTAGGTTAAATATTATACAAAACGAGAATATGATTTTTAAAAGCCCTCTAAATAAACAGAAGACAAAGCGCGCTTAGTAAGTCAAAACAAAGCCCTCTGATACTGCTGAAAAAAAGCTTCCTGTTTGGGGAAATAAAATGGCGGCCACCAGTAGCAACAGGTCGGCATCACCTCTAACAGCAACGACTGCAGGATGATGTTACATTTATGAGTCACACAAAATCACTGGCTCTTTGGGGTCATGCTTTTAAAAGTATCCTCCCTTTAGAAAACGAGACCTGGCTCAACACAAAAGCAATAAATAAGACTCTGAAATTATCCTAGCTCTTCATAAAAATACAAAGACACATCTGTTCCCAAATCATGCAAGAACTTTAAAAAAAAAAAAAAACCTGCCTCATGAGAGCTAATTAATTCTTCTTATATACCAGTTAAATATAGATGGCAGCTCTTATTTAATCCATGCGAAGATACCTGTCAGAGCCCTGCCATTGATGGGAGGTGGGGCTAACACAGGTGGAAGCTCTTTTACAGGTAGGTTGAGTTACTAAACTAGCAATTGTCTTAAATGGTGCAAAAATCTCAACACGGGGCTGGGGGTGGGTAGGAGGTCTATTTCCCAGTAGTGTGTTTCTAAAACCAACCAAAAATATGACATTGAAGCCAACTAAGGCCTTCCTAATTTGAGAGCCTCCTACTTGAGCTCCAAGCTGGTAAGAGAAATACAAAATAAAAATAGAGTGAGTTCATTTTCCTGAGGACGCTGACATGAACTACACATGAAACACGCAGGGTGGGGAACTGAGCATTCACCCAGAAGGCACCTAAATGCCGGAACTGATGGGATGGGCTTCCAGAGGGTACTTTTCAAGGAAAAGTAAAATAAAATTAAATCAGGAAAAAAAAAGGGGGGGGGGAGTACGTCTGCATACTTAAATATTGAAATATCTTTTCCCTGCAGTACAACTGAAGACATGCTCAATAAGAAGTCCCAGTAGAAGGGTGTTTTCCGATTTTGGAAAGACAAAGATGGAAATCAGCAAGGACCCTTTATTTCTTTACAGCGCTCAGCAATCTACTTAGCCACCTGATTAGCTAAATAGAGTCTGAAAGACTGATTACTAGTAATTTAACTCTTCTAAGAACTGGGGTTGCATTAACTCACGGAATCCTCGTAAAGACCTTAAGAGGCAAGCACAGGAATTATCCTCATTTTGTGGATGAGGAAACCGAGGCTCAGGGAGGTTAGCTAACTTGCCCAGTTGTCACACAGCTGGTGACTACTGCAGTCAGGATTCAAACGCAGGCAGTTACATGCAAGGGAAGAGCCTATGTTCTAAACCACCACGTTATGGCTGTGCTGTTGGTGGGTGCTGTCAAGTTGATTCCAACTCATAGTGACCCTATATGACAGAGTAGAACTGCCCCATAAGGTTTCCTAGTAATCTTTATGGGAGCAGATCCCCAAGTCTCCTCTCGAGAAGCCACTGAGTGGGTTTTAACTACTGACCTTTCGGTTAGCAGCTGAGCACTTAACCATTGCACTACCAGGGGCTGCTTATACTATGGTTAAAAAGAAACAAAACCATTGCTGTTAAGTCGATTCTGACTCACAGTGACCCTAAAGGACACAGGAGAAACCACAGGGTTTCCAAGGCTGTAATCTTTATGGAAGCAGATCGCCAGGTCTTTCTCCCGAAGAACCGCTGGTGGGTTCAAACTGCCGATCTTACGATCAGCAGCTGAGCACTTAACCACTGTGCCACCAGGGCTTCTTATGCTATGGTTAGTGGAGGTTTAAGATGTAACTTCACATTACTCGGTATTTCTGGATGGCTTTTAGGAAGTGGCCAGCCCATAGTCACGTATACCAGGAAGTCACAAAGTCAAAGGCCTATGGAACCACCAGGTAGCAGAGATGAGTGACACGGGCCAGCTGTGAAAGGCATGAGAATAAATGGTGACTGCACTCCACGCTGGAGAATGACGGAGAGGGATGGGGCAGTGACAACCTAGGGCACGATGCCCCATGGCAACGGGGTGGCCATCTCTCCACCCCCACTGATTGTTATCTGACAGAAAGGTGGACAGAGTACAGCTGCCAGATTTTTAGGTTTAAAAAAAAAAAAACCTTCAGTTTTACAAGAAATCTCTCCAGTTTTATGTGTTCACTCTTTTTATTTTAAACAACATGAAACCAAATAAAACGTTCTGTGGACAGTATGTGGCCCAGCAGTGGGTGATCCCTTTCACACCATTGGGGGAAGAGATGACCATCACCCTGGAATAACAAGTCTGGCTTTTAAACCCCCACAGACCTTCTGGGCCATTCTCAGAGTTCCCACGGCCCTAGACTGACTCAGCAAGTAATGAACCAAATGCCTGTCAAACATCACGACCGCACCTGGCCAGAGAAACAGCCGTTTCCCTCTCCTGAGACCGAGGCACCAAAGTGAGAGTACATGCAGAGTGACATTCTCTGCTGAGCAATATTTTTCTTTACAACAGGGGCCAACAAAATAAGCCGTGATCATTCAAGTTATGGAACTTCCTGGAAATATTTCTGCCTGCCAGGATGGCAGGGGATGAAGAGAACCCTGACACGGAGTTACTGATTCTTAGTTTACCAGGAAGTTTTCATGTTCACTCTGGGCAGAGAACGGGCTTGTGGTCGAATGTTCCTTCCTGGATTGCCGTCATCCCCCTGTGTCAATGAACAGCGGATCCAAACTCAACATCCCGGGACTGCTGCCTTTTGAGGGCACTTCAGAATCCTTCAAGGGAAGGCACTTTATAAAAGGGGAAATAGGAAAAGTGGGAAGCATGGTACCTAAGAGATATGGCTGGTCAAGAAGGGCAAGAAATTTTGACCAGTTCACAAGCAATGCCTCCTATCTCCTCCCTCTCTACCTTCTCTGCAAACTCCTTACAGATAATACAGACTTCTCAGCAACAAAACCCCGTGGTGGAAAGTCTACTGCTTTTCATGCTATTTAATCTTTCGAATGAGATCTTCTTCCTGGTATAAAACATATACTAAAACCACAATGAAAAAAACTAAAGGTCCAATTTATGTGTGTTAAACACCTGAGAGTATTCAAACAAACAAACCCAAACCCATTACCGTTGAGTCAACTGCGACTCACAGTGACCCTCTAGGACAAAGGAGAACTGCTCCACAGGGTTTCCAAGGAGCAGCTGGTGGATTCGAACTACTGACCTTTTGGTTAGCAGCCAAGCTCTTAACCACTATAACACCAGGGCTCCTGAGAGTATGAGAGCAACACTAGTTACGTCAAACGTTTCTGGTAACTAGAAACTGATGATTAATGCCACCGTACAATTTGGAGAAATAAAATGTTTAAATGGGTTTCCTATCAATTTTCTCAACGAAACAGGTTGTGAGCTTCAAATTACAACTTCATCATGTGAAGATAACCGGAAACCAAATCAACTAACCAAAATGTAGGTAGTTGTATCCACTGTACAGGCCCAGCCAACACCTTAGATGTCTTTGCTCTGGTTTTCCCATCATTGTCCATTGTTTAAAATGGTTTTGGGCCATGTCCAGCACAGTCTTCTCAAAGTTCATGCCCAAATGGTCCGTGAGAAGAAGGTGGTTGTTGTTAACTGCCGCTGAGCTGATTTCGACTCCCGGCTACCCTGTGGGACAGAGTACAACTGCCCCATAGGATTTCCTAGGTCATACCGGAGCAGATCGCCAGGTCTTTCTCCCTCAGAGAAGCTGGGTGGACTCAAACCGCCAACCATTTGGTTAGCAGCTAGGAGCTTAAGCATTGCGCCACCAGGGCTCAAGGAGAAAAAGGTAAATCTGCTGAAATACCAAGTTATGTAGTATTACTAAGGAGAAGATGGTTCAGACAGTGCTCGGAAACACCAAGCGTTTTGGGAAGAAATAGGTAATAGTATTTTCCATGAAACATCTGTTTGGTTTTAAACAAAGCCTTACTGTGAAATATTTACCTTAATTACACTACGATTCTTATTTTCTCCAACAACAACAACAACAAAAATTGCTGTATCCCAATTCCTTCTAAACAGACGATGCTATTTCACAGGTCCTTAACAATTCTTCTCCAGGTTAGACTTTTTAAAAAACTGCATAATCTGAGCCCTCATTTCCAAGTATATTAGACAATATTTGATGGAACATTACACAGAATAGCAATGGCGGCCATTTTGTATAAGGTACAAGGTTACTTATACCTTTGCAGAGATTCCTGAGTCTCAAAGCAGGAAGAATCTTACAACCCAGCTGAATGAATCTTGCTCTTTGGGTACTATCACTTACACTGGTGGCTGAGAAACAGTCAAGGCGAATGAATGAAACGCTCACCTGTCTTTGTAGTTGATCACAGTATCTATGATTGCATTCATCTGCTTTGTCAGTTTTGGGGGGTTGGGTGATAGTTTCTCAGCTGGGGGACGGCCTCTCCTCTTCTTGGCTTTTTCTACATCTTCTTTTGCAGGCTCTTTATCCACATTTCTTCGTCTTTTTCGCTTCTTAAGCCGCACTTCCTCTTCCATTTCTTCCAAATTGCCGTCTTCAATGGCCTGTTCAATGGAAATGAAGGGGAAAAAATGTGAAGACCAAAAAAATAAAATAACCAAGACAAAAAATACTTTGAATAATCTGGATAAAATGAAACAAACTCACCAAAAAAATAAGGCAAAACGACCCCCACCCCTGACCCAAGCTAAAAGTTAACACTAATCAGTGGTGTAAGGAGAAAACAAGGAGGCCACCATATTGGATAAATGCATCTTTAACTCAAGCCTGTTTCACTAGCAAAATACCTTGAAGGCCTGAGACACCGGCAGTAAGGAAGAATATGGCAAGTATTAAAAGATCTATACATTTAAGTGTTTGAAGATAACTGAATCCAAATCAAATTTGAGCTCAACATTAAGAAAAAGACCTGAACTATCTCATTAATACAGGGGGTGGGGAGAAAGGTACATAAAAAAAAAAAAAAGAGGGAGTGGGTGAAGAAAACAATTTCCCTTAGATTCTTACAGTCATACAAGCTCCAACCTTTTCTTCTTTGAGGTTTTACATCAATTTATTCATGATTCACAACATAAATCAAAATGCCATCTAGATTTCGTTCCAACGTAGCAATTAGGGAAAAAAACACAACAAAACGGGGAAACACAAAGCCACATTCCTTGGTAAAGGCACTTAAATCTGATAAAGAACACACACACAAACCACAAACACTTTTTCTCCCCCAATTACCTGCAAACGCTTGCTTTAAACCAGAGCCAGCAGCACTAATGCAGAGAGATAATAAAATAGCGATAGATAAAAACAACCAGGTAGAAAAGGGACCTGTTCACAAAGGGCTACAAGGTCCATGTGACAGACCCAGAAGTTGAAACTTTTTTTTTTTTTTTCCCTGCTACATCTCAAAACTTCAGAAAAAGGAAGGGGGGAAAAGATATCAAAAATACAAATAAAAAGAATTGTCGACCATGGGAAAGAAATTTTTTAAAAAAAGATCTTTCAATTACATTTTCAGATCGCTTTTCACCACCAAATAACTGATGTTATTTGCGCCTCCTGCTTCTCAATATTGCCTCCAGTATGCAAATGATAATCAATCCTTTCTCAGAGCTGAAAGCGCTCTAATCAGAAGGCAATTACCTTCATTTCTCCACAGCACCAAACATGGCTAATATTTATGATCATGTGAATATAACAATCAATATAAAGATTACAGCTCAGACATAATTTCTTTCACTTGTGTACAATGCCGCCTGAAAAAGAAAGCGTTGGTGAAGAAAACCTGGTGCAGAACACAAACCAACCTGGTGTGTTAAAAATGCCAGTGGGATTTAAAAAAAAAAAAAAAAAGAAGAAGAAGCTGTTTCTATGCATCCTCCAACGTGCATATCCAGAGAAGCAACATGAACACAGCATCCTTGGGGACAGCCTGAGCCTAGGCCTTAATAATCAAAAGACAATTTCCATCACCACCTCAGTGTCCAGAGAACCACCATGAAGAAGAAGAGAGATCTGAGGAGTTAGGAGGAAAAAAGGAAAACGCAAAAAAAAAAAAAGAAAAAAAAAAAGATTCCCACATTATTTCATTAATATTCATTTGCCTCAAAGCAGGACACCCTCTAGCCAGCTAAACCCACTGCAGCTAATCGAAGATGAAGAGAAGGCAATGGTCCCGCACATCTTGGAGGCTGAACACGCTAATAATAAATACAGCATGCAAGACTGTCAACAGTTAATGGTCTTGCTCTCCTGAGCACCCGGCTGCGCAGAGAAACCCGGCGAGCCCCGGCTTTTGACGTGTTACACACCTACACATGCCTGAGATGTACTTCTACTGAATCTTCAAGACGGCAACGAAAAAGGATATTTACCTTACCACTATCAGCAGGCCGGCTGCTATCGGAAATCACAGTTAGTGGGGATAAAATTAACAAGCCAGCAAAGCAGCGAGCTGCTAGTCTCTTCATCAGCTGATCAGGAAAAAAAAGAGAGCCGGGGAAAGGCTATGTTTTCATATACAAGTAATTTTATTTTACTGAAAATTTAATACTGAAAGGATTGTGGATACTCAAATCTGCTGTTTCATGCTAGCTACTACTGCAAGGCCCAAAGCCTTCCTCTTCCAGCCTGTTTTAATATTGACGACTACTTATCATATTTTTCCCCCGTTATTATTCCAGGCAGCAGATTTAAGAGTTGTTTTTTTTTTTTTGTTTGTTTTTTTAAGCTGAGATGGGTTCTGAGCCTGGCTTGCATTTTAATAATTAAGCCAATAAAAACACCAATTAATATTCAAATTTATTAAAAAAAATTAAAATGAGGTATGCTTTTTTTTCTTTTTGGGGGGGTATTTTAAACCTCGTTTTAGTGCCTTTCAAAAAACAAGACTGCATGGCTTAGGAGCAGTCTAGAACAATTTCTAAAATAAATCTTTTTTTCCCCCTCATTCTATGCATGTAAGTCAAAGCAACGTGCTGAGAAGGTTCAGAGATCTGAATTCAATACGCTATTCTTTCTCTTTAAGGAAAATCCCCAACGACTGTGACACTTCACTTTCAGTTTTCACGCCGTAAAAAATTTTCATTATTTTCTTTTTCGGTGGGATAAATGAAGAGGGGGGAGCTGTGAAAAGCAGTATTTCTACTCTCACTCTCCCACCCCCTTTAATTTTGCAAAAAGGGAACAAAGCATGAGCTTTTGATATTTGATTACTGGACTTCTCAGTCTTGAAATCTGTAAGTAGCTAAGAAGCGAAAACAAATTAAAATTGCAAACAGAACTAGGGAAGCAATTTTTATTACAATGGCTAGTCCGTGCACATTCTTACTAAATTTAGGTTTTGGAAGGACCAGGAAAACACGCAAAGTCGGCCCATTCTTCCCCTAATGTTAAGGTTTTATGCAGGAATGCACAGAGCCACAAAACATCTTTCTTCCCTCCTCCCCCCAAGACCCCAAACCATCCATACGCAGCTTTCGAGGCTGTGGGATTTCTACGGGTCTTTCTAATGGAAATCAATCCACAAAATACTGCCCGATGCTTTTCATACTTAAAGAGTAGAGTACCATTACTCCTGCCTGTAAGTAAAATTATTCATGGAGATTTTAAACTGCTCTTTTCTTTAAAAAAAAAAAAAAAATCATTCAACGGACTCAACCCAATGCTAGGGCGGGGGGTGGGGGCGCAAACTTAAAAAAATCTTTTTTTGCTACACAATGCTAAAGTCCTACCCCCAAAAAGAATTCCCTTCCAAACCTTTTACCAGCACAATAATGAAATAAATCACAGGAGCAAACCCCCAGTTTCCGACTGGTGACGTGTTGCGCAAAAGTGCAGCCCTAATTTAACGTACAGACGGCTCCCATGCCGAACTGCCTCTAGATTTAATGAAGTGAATAGGAAGGAAGTCGGGGCGGACAAAAAAGTGTACAAATAAGAAATTAACGCTTTCCTGCCCTACCGAGAAAACGGTGAGCCACAACTACAGGGAAGTTTGGGGAGCCACCTCTTTCCTTAAAGGCACACTGCACCCGTTTGGTTCCGGACGCCACGGGGAAAAAAAAAAAGCCAGATGGTGATCAAATCCTCAGCCAAGTTCAAAGAGTTAAGCATATTTCAGCTTGCATTTTTCCTGAATGGAGCTGGGAATTACTCTTTCCTCCACTGGATGGCAATCTTTTTTTTTTTTTTTTTCCTCTTTCCCCTCTTTCTTTCTTTCCTTTATTTTTTTCCTTGAAAGAATGCATGTTGATGACACAGGGCACAAGGACAACATACAAGCTGGCTGCCTCTTCACTGAATTCTAAAGAAGGCATTGTCTAGGTTCTGATCACAAAACGCAGGCAACAGTGGTGCAGGATGGGCTGTTTCTAGAGAAAACACTTTGCAGCTTGCAAAGCACATGGCAGACCCTGGGATCTGACACACATGGGGCCAGTGCTGTCCCTCTCTGCCACCCTGACACACGCTACATCTTTTCCCAAAACCCGCAAGGTCCAGAAAGTCATTGTTGTCCTTGTTCTTCTCAAACGGGCGGCATAATGCAGGACCCGACTTGACGGTATCATACAGCAGAAGGGACCCGTGATTATGAATAAACGGAGACCAGCAAACAGAACGTCACACACCAACTCTAGCACACGGTGTCACTGTGGCTGCCTTTTGTCACCCATGAATCCCTTAGTCCAGCGTGGCCCGGCTCTTACAAGTGGAACACACCATCTTAAGGACATTCTAAAGGAGCAATTCTAAAGGCAGCTATCTAGACACCACATGGGAAATTTCTTATGAAAGGGGAAATTCAGCATTCCATATATCACTCTAACACGTGAATATCACGCCTCTCCCCACAGGCTTGTTCTTTCTCTCTCTGGGGTTCCCCTCCTGGTGGTCCCTTAGGAGCCCTGGTGGGATTCTAGAAGAGAATTCTAGGATGCCGTGAGGGGTAGGGTTGGGGCTACAGAGCTGAGGGCTAAGCACTAAAGAAGGCAGTTTCCTGAGAACAACTCACCTATCACCAAACTCAATTCCAATACTTAGGGAGGCTAAAGCTCGCTCAGGACGCCCTGCCTGGGTGGTGCAACAGTTAACATACTGGGCTGCTAACCCAGAGGTTGGAGGTTGGAGTCCACCCAGAGGTGCCTTGGAAACAAAGCCCTGGTGATCGACTTCCTAAAAACCAGCCATTGAGAACCCTATCGAGCACGGTTCTACTCTGACACACACGGGGTTGCCAAGTGTGGAACGGACTTGACGGCACCTGGCTGAACCTCACTCAAGCCCCACTGACCCCCGGAGAGGCCCTAGAAGCCATGCATAAATCCAACGCACTTCAAAAACAGCAACAACAAAAAGTGGAGTTTTTAATGAAGTTTCATATATGAGAATTTTTCTTACAATAGGAATACTTAACAACAAAAGCTTGAATGTGGCACTCCTTCTCAAAGAGTTAATACTACTTCTGGATACAGCACTTTGGACTTAGAGCTTTGGACAATGATAAAGTTTTTTTTATTATTTTTACCCTCAAAAGCACCCTGTTAGAAAA